AAATGTTTTTGTTGTCGAAAGTATTGTAGATGACACCATTCTCAAAGGTCCTCTTCTAGAAAGTATTGTAGATGACACCATTCTCAATGGTTCGTGCTATTTTGATATCGTAGTCGACACCACTCCCACCGTTCCTGTCGACGTATGTAAATATTCTAGTTGACACCACTCTCACCATTCCTGTTGACATGTGTGAATATTGTAGTCGACACCACTCCTAGTGTTCCTGTTGTTTTATGAAATTTTATGTGGTTTTCCTATGTAAGTATTATGGTTGATTTATTTATTCAATGTAACTGCGGCCCGCGTTCCTTCTAGTGTAAGAAGTGTGATCAACACTACTCTCAATGCTCCCTCGATTATAAAAATTGTGACTGACGTCTTTTTGAATTGTTTGTTGTTACTAAAACCAATTAAATGTCCAGTAAGGTTTATAATCGCATATTTCACAATATTCGCTTAATGCAATGTTGTAATACAAGTTTTAACGGAAAGTAGGGATCGTTGGTTATTCGTAGAATTGTTATAAGAAGTATCCAAAACAAAATAATTGCTGCAATAAAAAGTACACAAATAAACAAAGTGATACGAGTTGGATATATTTTAAAACGCTTTTCAATCCCTACTTTGGTTGGCATTGTGATCCGTATAGCTGCGAAAAAACGTCTAAGCTAACCACCATATAACGCGTAGCCAATTCTGAAAGGTTAAATTGAAGAAAATTTGTTTTTTTACACATCAGTTGTACAAAATATATTGAATAGTTTCCAAATACCGTAAACAGCTATCGATGTATAAAACATTTTTGGAGATCTTTCATTGAAATTTTACAAACTTTACTGAAAATTTTATACGTGGTAATACACCCAGCTAATCATTTATCTTCACATAAATATTCGTCATCACTAGAATTGTCGCCACAGTCGCATTCAGCGAATTTGCTTCCTTGAACACTTGCTTCATCCTCTTCTGATTTCCACAACATCTCATCATCCGTCCCATCCATTGCATTGGATAAACAACATTTTTTGAAACCTTTAATAATGCTTTAGTGATTTTCGGTGGTAGATTCTAGTAAAATACCGAACAAAATTCAATGTGCGCGATTATATTGCGCAGTCAATTTTTCGGGAGGTATTTGGAGGAAAAAAGTGCGCATTATATTCGGGCAAATACAGTATATAAGCTGACGCAAAATAAGATTGGGTACACGCGTATATGTGGTGTGGGGGAATCGTGGAATCTACAATTTTGAAAGTTGGTACAGCTTTATACTTACACAGAACATACTTGCAAAAGAAAATGACCATAGTTAGCGCTGCAAAGTGATTTTGAAACAATATATGTTTATCAAGTGACGTCAGTAAGAACGCGTGAGTTTTATGTCAAAGCTCATTCGTTTCACGATTAATAGTATTGTTACAAATAACCATTGCTATAACTTGTGTACAAAAATCATTACGTTCTATCATATCCATACTACTCTGGTGTTTGTTATATTGAAATGAACGGATAATATATTGTGACTTGCATTGAATACTACTATGCTCTTAAAATTAAATGTCTTTAGTGTGATTCTCCCACCAATTACATGTTTATACAGTGTTTTATACCAGCCTTGTATTAAACAGAAAAAACAAACAAACTTATTTTATTTCTTGTTTTCCAGGCAGCCTCGAATATATATCGTTATGCTCCTGAAATATTCTACAGATACGCTATTGATCAAATGCTTAACTTAACCCACAGTTCTTGGTTTGTTGGGAAACCAGTCCGGCAACTATTATTTGAAGGATATAACGATTCCTTGATAGACGAATCCCGATCATTATCTCCTCTTCCACATGAAAAGTTTGGATGGTTTTATGGGGTAAGAAAAAAGGAATGATTGGTGTATATCAATTAAGAAATATTTGTAATGTAGCAATTTAAAAAAGTGCGTAATTGAAAATACCTACATAATGCGGAAAACAAAAGGATTCGTCACATCTCTACAAAGTAACTTGCTGGAACACCTCGTTCATCGCGTGTATCAAGAATTAGTTTGAGAGATAATTTCGCAACCAATCAAACGACAAATAGGCTACTGGAATTGAAATTTTCTGAGATTCTCTTAAGCTTAAAATTTGAATTTATAATTTTGACAGGCATTAATTTTATCAAATTGGTTGTTTTCGTTGATAATATATAGTTATGCTTGTATTAATGTGTTATTTAATCTCTAAGTTACTGAAAGCTTTTCTATTGCTTGCTCTTATTCAGTTATCAAATGACTGATAAATAACACAGAAGCACGTCTTTGTCTGATAATAAATGAAACTAGATCAAACAAGCAGACAAATGACTCTGACGGCTCAGCGATTAGTTTGAGGTTTATAACGCTAAAATTCAGGGTTCGATTTCCTAAGGTGAAAACAGCACAAATAACTCATTGTGTAGCTTCGCGTTTAACAACAAATAAGAACAGGCACAAAATAAATTTACTGTTTGACCACTTACTAGAAACAAACTTTCCATCTACTATCGACAAGATTTCAAATAAAACAAGCCACGTACTACAAACCTAAATCTTTATTAACACCACGTTTCCTCTACTACTGACAACATAGCAAATGAAACAAGGCCCAGGGTGCTAACACTACGTTTTTCTATAACTGACAACATAGCAAATGAAACAAGGCCCAGGGTGCTAACACTACGTTTTTCTATAACTGACAACATAGCAAATGAAACAAGGCCCAGGGTGCTAACACTGCGTTTTTCTATAACTGACAACATAGCAAATGAAACAAGGCCCAGGGTGTTAACACTACGTTTTTCTATAACTGACAACATAGCAAATGAAACAAGGCCCAGGGTGCTAACACTACGTTTTTTATAGCTGACAACATATCAAATTAAACAAGATGCATAGCCTTACACAACGTTTTCTCTACTACTAATAACTGACAACATAGCAAATGAAACAAGGCCCAGGGTGCTAACACTACGTTTTTTATAGCTGACAACATATCAAATTAAACAAGATGCATAGCCTTACACAACGTTTTCTCTACTACTAATAATTTACCACATAAAACAATGTTCGAAGGACTGACGTTACACGTTTTCTCTGCTACTGACAACATACCAAATGAAACGAGACGCAGAGTAGACGTTGTGTTTTGTCTACTACTGATAGTATACCAAATGAAAAAAAGACGCAAAATGCTAAAGCTGCGTTTTCTATATGCTTACAAAATATTAAATCAATCAAGACACGGAGTGCTGGTTACGTTTTGTCTACTACTGACAACTTATCAGGCAAAATCAAACTTTAAAGCCACAGTTTGTCTACTGTTGAAAAAATATGAGTCGAATTAAACAATATGATATAGACAAAATGTTGATTTTGTTATTACTGACCGAAAATGACGTGAAATAAGCTACAGTAGTTCAAATAAACGAAAAATTTTAGATACACAACCTGTTTGTTTGTTTGTAATTAAGCACAAAGCTACAGAATGGGCTATCTGTGCTCTGCCCACCACGGGTATCGAAACGCGGCTTCTAGCGTTGTAAGTCCGCAGGCATTCCGCTGTGCTACTGGGGGGGGGGGGGCAGATACACAGTCATTTCTGTTATATGAAAATCCCACGTAAAACCAAGATAGTATCGCCTGTTTGGGATTCATTTATATTTACTAGGTGATTACTAATGCACATGTGTCTGGAAATTATGTCAAAAATTATTAATACTTAATTCTGAATGTGTTAAAACTCCTGTGAGACCCGTATCCCGCTGTCACGATGTTCTACGCATTCTATAATATACCTCCGTTGATTTAACAAAATTCTAGCAGTCAACACTCCTATCTGTGAAACACAAACAACTTTGTTAGAATTTACTTATAGGCAACACGAATATTAAGCTATAACTGGGACAAAGAATATTAACAGCAGTCTATCAAAATACATTTTTTTATTTCAGCTATAACAAAACTGGATATGTTATAGGTGAAGAAAACTTCTTTAGGGTATGTAAGTAACCTGACGCAGTATTTAATTTTACTTCTTTCTTTTTCCCTTTTATAACAACAACTAGACGTATCTCTTACTCCTAGTTTTTCTTAGGCCATCGAAAACAAAAAAGGTAAAAGCAAATAAAGTACTTAAAATTCCTCATTAACTCGCGTTTTAACTGTATTACTTTACGCAGTGAAGTGGAACTGATGGTTCGGTTGTTTAGAATCTATGTATCTACTTGTTTAGAAGGATCTCGGATTATAATAGCGCTCGTGTTAATTTCCGGTTCCATCGAAATTTGATTTTGAGATAAATTAATCTTATATTGCTCGGTTTAATACTTGCTTGTGGTATTCTCAGGCGCACTGATTTACTTTTCGGGTTGTAACTGCAAAAAACAGGAGGAACGACCAGGAAATGTATCACAGTTTTAAAAGGAGTTCCGATTTTGACTGAATTGATGAAATACAGAAACCGGAAACAGTGTGTGTGACAAGGTGTAAAACAAACTTTATTGATTTCATAAATAAGTTAATGAGTGCATAGGTTGAGCTTGACAGTGCTTATACTGCAAATATGTAGATATTCTCGTAGTCTACTATTCTCATGTTCCAGACCGAGAGAGCATAGCGTTATATGCAAGATTCTATAATGCAATCTTTCTTTAATTATTGTTGGACATTCCAATAAAAAAACTATAGTAGTAGGTCAAAGCTTTTAGGCACAAAATCAGATATTTAGAAGTCTTAAAAAATATATTATCGACTCTATCTAATACGTTTGTTTGTTTGGGCTATTTGCTGTTTCCATTGCAGAGAAACGAACCCCGAATTTTAACGTTGTATTTACGCAAACTTACAGTTGTCCCACCGGGGGACACCTTATGCGAAGATGGAGATTAATAATTACAAACTTCCTTTTTTTAATGTGCTAGTTTGTTGTCTTTCGAATAATAAGTGAATTAAAGTGTGATTTTTAGCGCTCCCTGGTGAGAAGTCATTGCAACAATATAGAATTAGAATTTGTGAGCTTCAAATTTAGACCAAAACTTAACATAGCTCATAGATAGACGACAAAAGCAACTTACTTAGCCCACCTACATTAAACGATTAAAATTTAAAAAAGTAAATAAATTCATCGCATAAATTGTTTAAATGCTTCCTTTTCTTACAGAAAAACAACTCAGACGATAATTTCTACAACATCTTCACAGGAGAAAACGGAATAAATAAGCTAGGACAGATTGATAAATGGAACGGGAGCGAGTACGTAATTGAAATGTTTGTTATATTTTAATATTTATACTGTTTTTACATTAGATTTAGTGTGTCAAAGTTTTCTCAAAAAATGGTAATACGTGGTCAGATTTCATTTTTGATATATCCTTGAAATTATGTTTGATAGAGGGATTACTTTCGTATCTAATCATCATAATCCCACAACACCGTACATTCGTTTCGTTTGTTTTGAATTTTGTGCAAAGCTACACTTAGGGCCATCCCTAATTTAGCAGTGAAAGACTAGAGGGAAGACAGCTAGTCATCATCACCCTCCGCCAACTCTTGGGCACCTCTTTTACCAACGAATAGTGAGATTGACCGTCACATTATAACGCCCCAAGGACTGAAAAGGTGAGCATGTTTGGTGGGACGGGGATTCGAACCCGCGACCCTCAGATTATGAGTCAAGCGCCTTAACCACCTAGCCCTGCCGGGCCAACACCCTACAACACATGCTCTGACTACACTAGTACGAAATATAATATCAATCATTAGGTAAAATACAACAATAAAAAAACATTCCGTATTGTTACTAGCTAAGTCGATAATAAGAGATTTTAAAAGTAAAATTGTTGACTTAATGTATGGTAAGGTATATTAATATATTGTAAGGCGATGTACATTATTGTGCGATCAGAGGCGAGCTTCATTGACGCAGTGCATCCATTTTGAAAAAAATAGGTTACTCTCAATACTGTCCGCCCCCACCAGTGGCTCAGAGGTAAGTCTGGAAGCTTTTGCTACTAAAAATCGGGTTTCGATACTTGTGGTGGGCAGAACACAGATAGTCAGTCCATCCTGTAGCTTTGTGCTTAACAATCACCAATCAACTCTCAATACTGGCGCCATCTTTTGTCGATGTTTTAAAATCTCGAGGCCCTAAATGAGCTTATCGAATAATTGTTTAAAATATTTTAAATTTACAATATCTGAAATAATTTATGTTAAAATATTAAATGAAATATAAGTATTTCTAAATTTCATCACAAATACTGCATAACTGTATTTTACATTTCTAGACTATATTTACCTTCCGTTTTAGACTTACACATGCATCTAAGGATTCTACCCTTTATTTTGCTGTATCATGGGAGATTAATCGTAGCTTTAATGTGACACTATAAATCAACCATGCATGTTTTCAATCAATACTTCTAGCATATAGAGTAGCTCATACGTTAATTGCTTCAATCATTCTAAACCCTGATGAATCTTTCATTGTAAATTATGTGGATCTGTTAGGCTTAACTCTCCTATTATGCTGACATATCAAAGAGGGATATACGACCAGTAATATTTATGTATGCCTCCTTTGATTCTTTTTTTTAATTATTACTATAGTACACAAAATAAGTTTGGGTACACACGTATATGTGGTGGAGGGAATCGTAGAACCTACAATTTTGACAGTTGGTACAGCTTTATACTTACACGGAACATACTTACTAAAGAAAATGACCATAGGTAGCGCTGCAAAGTGACTTTGAAACAATATTTGTTTATCAAGTGACGTCAGTAAGAACGTATGAGTTTCATGTGGATCTGTTAGGCTTAACTCTCCTATTATGCTGACATATCAAAGAGGGATATACGACCAGTAATATTTATGTATGCCTCCTTTGATTCTTTTTTTTTATTACTATATCTCAACTATTATAAAGCACTAGACCAAGATGTAATTCATATGTTATGGGGAAAAAAATGATCTAATGCAGGAACTAAATGTACATAATGTATCCATGTTGGTAGCCAAAGGGTTAAGGTCAACTGTTTCAATTAGTTTAATAGAAACACTAAATGTTTCCCAATGAAGACTCCTAAAGGCCCTTGTTTTGTGTACGTTTCTTCCGTGTAGAGAAACACCTTCAACAAAGACAGTATCTATAGAGAGGTATTCATGTAATGTATCAGAAAAAGTCAGTTCTCAAATATAAAAAGAGAGTAAACCTGTATAAAACTTTAAAGAAAAGTTCAATTTACGCATAGTGAAAGAGAGCAAAATGGATCTTCAAATATGTAGACTGTAATCATATTTTTAAACTTTTAAATAATTCGTACCATTATCAACCAATTTTCATTTTCGGAGATTGCTACTTCTTACAGAATTACGTTATCGTCATTCAATCCTCATATCTAATAAAGAAATAACTAAGCGATTTTACTTTGTTCTTTAGAGATGAAAACTATTTTGCATAACGTTTCAGATGATGATAGCACGTGATTCATTATGCAATATTTCATTCTTTGTTGTATAGCGTTGTAAGAGTGTGGGAGAGTACATGCAACAAAATCAATGGAACAAGTAAGTAAACTTCTCTTTATCTGACTATCTCACCCTTTGTCTAGATGTTTACTTTTAGATCTCTTGCTGACTGTAAATATGTTTTCAGATCTTTAATTTCAATAGACATTTCGTGTTGAAATTATGTAGACAAAGTTTTCCGGATAATTTTGTATTGCTGAATTCAAAACAATTGTCTAGCCAGCTACGTGCGGAATCTTAGTCCTTCAAATTTGGAAAACAAAATGGCCAACGTACTATTTTTTTTTTTCCTATTTCAAAAGATTACGTTTTTCAAACTTACGTCCAAAAAGTCTTGTGTGGTTTTCTATGAAGAAGCAATGGCTTTATTCTGCTATGCTTGGGCTTAATTTGATGAAATTTGGCAAGTATGCTAAGTGAAAGTTAAGGGCTACAGTGAGTTGAGTATGAACATTCCAAAACAAGCATTCTAGAATTATAATAGCAGTGGTCTTCAGATATTCATATTTTGTGGTTACAATTGGCTTTGCATCAGTCTAAGCAATTTTATATATATTGCGAATCGTGGTGTCTGTCCGAGCGTTCGTTTGTCCCCTGTTTGAAAATCTGCGCACGCAGGCAAAGCTTAACATTCACTTTTGAAATGACGGGAGGAGAACAGATATGAATAATGTTGATGCCAAATCTTATTTCGCAAACAGGATATTCTACATTAAAGTGTTAGGAATTAATCATACTATTCATTCACATTTCGAAATGTGACGTAACTTAAAGATTAAAGATAGAGATTTACCCTATGTTATTGTTGAGCGGCTTTTAGCATGATTGAAATGCTACAATTAGTTTTCGCGGTGGGTGGTATAAGTAGCTCAGAGCTTTGGCTATGAGTGAAACCAAGAGTGCAACACAATTAACCTTTTTGAAGTCCATGAAATAATTTAAATTGATAGATTAACTTAGACTTTTTCCGTCACTGGGGACGGGTACTTTTGCTTGTATCTGATAATACTGTAACTAAGTTTAAGAAATTAACATATATCAACACTAGATGGCGCGATAAATATAAATCGAACAAATACTGTAGTAATGTTTTTGTTATGAATTATACCTCTATCGTTTCTCACTTATTTTGTTGTTTACTTTTATTGTTTGTTTGTTTTCTTGTTAATTACTAGGTTTACCTGCTTGTGTTTTAATATTATATAAATTGTTCAAGTTAATATGATATTATTAGGTATTTCGTGGTGTATATGCTTGAGCAGTATACACGGTCTTTTTGTTTGTTTAATATGTTTACATGCTTACATTTTGGTATTATATAATTGTTTCACCACTATATCTAGACCTATATATAATATGTCAGGAAGATAGATGAAAGTCATTACTTAAAGCAAGTGAAAAGGCCATTTCTTTTTAAATTCTATAAAACTTAGTTCTAGAATGCTCAAAATCTAACTGTTTCCTCAATATTATGTCAACCCTAAAATGTGTGCAAAACTTCATGGAAGAACATTGAGTTCTTTTAGAATATGAGTTACAGAACTATCATATTTTTTGAAATAGGAGAAATAGTACATCGGGCATTTTCTTTATCTAATTCGAGAGGTCTAAAATTCTAAATATCATCGGGTTGAAATTTATTTCAAAGTTAGCATCCCTGAATTATGCAACATAGTATATCTACTCATTTATATCATAGAATGCTTTTACCTTATCTTCTCAATGGCTGTTTTGAAATTGGGTCTGGTCCGGAAATAACATGTGAAATAATTTCACAACTGTCATATATATTAGTTTAAACTAAAAACATGTATTTAAGCTATTTACAACACACAGCAATAGGAATAGTGTATATAAAGGTATCTAATAGAGAAAACTATCAAAAGCGAAACTTAAAACTCACTGGAACTAATGTTTTCTTGGATATTGAGACTGACTGTGTAGTTGTCGAAATAGGACATGATAACAGAGACAAATAAAAATGTTTTGGTGAAACAAAATAAGTTAACCTTGTCAGACTTTTCTGTTTTATAGCCGATTAATAATAATAATAACAAGTTTAACTTGTCAAACTTCCATCTTTCCGTAGCTGGAGACATGTGGCCTCCGTTCAGGAGCTCGTCAGACCACGACCTGACTATGTTTGTGACAGATATATGCAGGTACGTTTATGTGCGCTAATTCTATTATTTCCCTTTTGGAATTCAATTCCTATAGGACTTGACTGTAGTTGCAATAATAGATAGACACTTAATTTTACAATGTGTATTTAATCTACAATCAAATGGTCGTTCTGAAGTGTTAGTTCTAAACAGTGCGATAGTAAGAAATGTTAAAACACATACGATTTTAAGACGAAATAATATGAATAAACCAGCAAAAAATTGTCATTTTCTTTCACAGCATTATCTGAAGTAACGACAATAAGTGTTAAACTCATAACAGCTGTCAAAACTGTACTTTACGTTAATCACAAAAAATGTAATAACATAAGAATTATTGGTAAAATGCCATCCATTTACACAAAAAAATATCGTGTTTTGTTATATTTTAGATCAATTACTTTAAAGTTCCATGAAGAAACTCAAGTCAAGCAAGTCAAAGCGTACAGATATTTAGCCGAGAAGACTATGCTAGACAACGGAGAAGAAGACCGAGATAATAGATGCTTCTGTTTATCTGACGCCACCAGGTGTCTCCCTAGAGGAGGTCTCAATGTTTCTTCCTGTCAGTTCAGTAAGTGTGTGAACACATGCTGCTCGTTCACCTAAGTTTGTTTATTTTTCCCTCAAATTCCGAGAGGCCTTACTGACATAATACAATACCTCCTTCAGAAACACAAGCGCGGAAAATATTTATTACTCGAACACTTCCGGTTAAACTCTATAGTTGAGTTACAAAGTCTATATAAGTTAGATATTCAGTTGTAAAGGTGAGAACGTAACATTAAATTTGCTGTAAAAGCCACCTTACAAGCTCTATAGTTGAGTTACAAAGTCTATACAAGTTAGATATTCAGTTATAAAGGTGAGAACATAACATTAAATTTGCTGTAAAAGCCACCTTACAAACTCTATAGTTGAGTTACAAAGTCTATATAAGTTAGATATTCAGTTGTAAAGGTGAGAACATAACATTAAATTTGCTGTAAAAGCCACCTTACAAACACCCTATGCCAATGTAAGTAAAATTCATAAGGTGTTTTTATGCATTATGAAGTATGTATATCATGGGGGGGGGGGGATTTGTGACCAACATGTGGAGGAGGCAAAGAAGTTTTACTTAATTATTGTTAATGTCAAGTGTATGCTATATTTCACAGAAGAAAAAAACTGAGGGAAACTTCTCTCCCTTGTTCCCACCCCCATAATCTCGCCTATGATATATATATATATATTGTTTTACAGTTTAAAGCTTGAGATAATATAAGTAAATGTTTTAAACTTAAAATACCAAGTTTCACAAATAAAACGACAATATATCAACACTACTTTAAGTGCTCATTGTTGCTTTAGGAAGTTTGTAATGTTATTTTTGACTTTTTTTTTTCCTTTTAAGTCACACATAGTTCGCAACTATTACTTATTTGCAGTGTTTTGGATAGTGTATGTCGATTCACATCTTAATAATAGAACAATTATGTTTGTTACTTTCTTCATTATGAAAAGCTTTGTTTTAATTAAAGTATTGGGCAGGTTTCGTGTTATACTGTAGTGTGAATATTACTGTCAGATATGACCAGTACACTCAGATATTCGGCAGCGTCTGCACATATTAGTCGATATCTTTACTTTTATAATTAAAAATAAAAGCGGTTTTATCAGATCATTTGAAATGTTCGCCAGTTTTTTATATCACAAATCTTCTATTGGAAGTTACTATAAATACTGCATATAATTTTGAAATAATCAGTATTAAAATAATAAAGTTTTTTATGCAATAAACTGAACAGACATAACTTATAAACAATTGTTGTTCATTAAAGCAGATTTGGCTTATTCAAACTTTCTACTTCATGTGTGTAGATGCCCCTGCTGTTGTAACTTACCCACATTTCTTGTATGCGGATCCTGCCTATGCAACAACTGTAGATGGAATGAAGGCAGATCCAGAAAAACATCAAATGTTCGTCGATATTCAGCCGGTAAATCCAAATTTTTCTATTTTGTTGTGTGTTTCTTTCAACGTCTAAACTAGTGTTTATGCAGTGAAAGAGGCCTTTGGTGAAACTCTTCTTCACAGAATATTGGCTTTGTGTTGTGTCAGAATGAAATAAGATACAAGCTCTTCTGTATGAAACAGGCCAAGAATGACTGACTCTCTTCCTTCTTCAGTACACTGTCTTGATCACCACCTTAAAAAAAGCGAATTACCAGATATTCACATGGAAAAGGGCACCTGAAACCAGTCCGTTCTGTTAATTACTCACCAAAAATGGAGAGGATATACAAATAAACCACAATGCAGCTTACACCAATGACACAAGACCCTGCACCGAAAGCACTTGTAGTGTTAAATTTTCTCTTTTGTTGTGTGTTTCTTTCAGCGTCTAAAACTAACGTTTGTGCAGCGAAAGAAGCTCTTGGTGAAAATCCCCTCCAAAGGCTTTGTATTGTAACATGTAAGAAGTATATTGTTGTACAATTGTTAAAGCTACACTTTACTTAGTTCAGTATAGTCTTTTGTGTACACAACGTATCCTCACATTACTTCTGTCTAGTGTGCAAAACGTCAACCAACTTAGAAAATCTTAAGATTTTTTACAATTCAAGTACTGTATATCATAGTCTGATATATATCCTCGTGTTTCTCTGTTTACCAATACATCGACTGATCCACCCATTCATATAAGTACCAAAATCCTTAATTACTGCTGATGAGGGAAAACTGTGGTGACCGACAATCAACTGTGTCAAAATTGTTCGTTGTAATTAAACCATGTCGTAGGACTAATAAACTAAAGCTTTTGAAAGAAGAGAAGTGATCGAGTATGGACTACAACAGGTCCTGACGATTAAAAAAAAACGACTTAACTTTTAGCCCACTTTCTACAGCCATTAGATCACATATAAGAAGGTCTATAATAGCTAACACTAACGTATGTTTGTAATTACGTAATATCATGCCTGCCAAGAAAAACGCAATTCCGTCAACAGTTGCATCATTGTAATTCAAGAAGTTATAACTTAATTTTAGGCAATAGGTTACACAATATTAATGGCGAATGTTATAGTTTATACGTTAGTTCTAAACGGGGGACATTACAATATGTTTTTGATTATAAATATGATTAAAACTAACTTTATTGAGAACTCGTAGCTGTACCAAACTTCATCCTATAACTTAGCGAACAGGAAAGTAAAATAAAAATCAAAACGACAAAAGGAGTAGAGAAATAAAACAGAAAGTAAAATTAGAGGACTCCGTTTAAGAGAAGAAAACAATAAACACGACTTACACAAACGCGTGAGAAACTGGCAAACGCAGCAAAGGCTTTAACGAGAGATGCGTTATATAAACGTATTTTTTTTACATCTCAAAAATAGGGGGTTCGGCCAACCCCCCACCTCCCCGCGTACATGCATAGTGATGAATATGTATAACATGTGGCAAAGGTCCATGTTTCTTTCCTTAGTAAATAGGATAGGTTCATGAAATGCTGCATGACTTATCTTAGAGTGTAAATAGAAAGTGACACTTGGCCTTAAAATATTGTTTAGGGGTGCTTGAAAATTGATTTTAGGGGATCTTGTGACACAATGCTTCAACTCTGTCAAACAATTTTATTGGAGAATTTCTGTAAAACTTTTACACAATGACTCATGAACAAGAATGACCACTGTAAGTTACTGACATTGACCACTAAAAACAGGAAACAAATAAAGCATGTTATTTTTCACTACAATAGGTTGTTTTTTATTATTATTATTCATTTTCATTAACCAATTTTTTGTTTGTTATTGATCACAGAGTAACTTTAGAAATTAATTTCATTGATCACTTTTCTTTTTTCTATTATTTTTGTAACTTTTTTTTGTTTGTAATTCTTTATATGGCTTTCAACAACTGTAATAAATCTATCACACAGGATATGGGAATACCCATGAACATAGCAGCAAGGATGCAAATCAACATTGTTTTCGAACGTGTTAAAGACATGTCGTAAGTATTATGGTTAAATAATTGGAATAAGTCTGAGAGACAGTGAAAAATAACTTAAAGCTTAAAAGTTTAGAACGTATTGGTAAAACTTATTATTATATCGTTACAGTTCACAGTGTAAAAGTATTGTTGAATGAAAAATTAAGTATTGAATTTCTGTTAAAAGCGGGAGTAAATATTACTATTGTTGTGTTTTTGGTTTGTTTTTAAGTGCAAAGCTGCACATTAGGCTATCTTTTCACTGAAGTCTAATGTTACAAGCCTACAACCTTACTGCTGATCCATTGGAGGACTATATTTTTGAAAATTTATACTGGATTATCATTTTTCTGTCGCTCATTCATATCCCAGGCACCCCAGTGTCACAGCGGTATGTCTGCGGACTTACAACGCTAGAAACCGGGTTTCGATACCTGTGGTGGGCAGAGCACAGATCGCCCATTCTGTAGCTTTGTGCATAACTACAAACAAACAAAACAATCATATCACAGAAGATCATAATTATCAATAGTTTGCGATTTCATTTTTATAAAAACGAGTATTGATATAGCTGATTTTGATAATGAATCTTAAACTCGGTATTTTGTTTGTTTATATTTTATTGGTTTCATATAATTTATTTGATCCTGTTTTATAGGTCAAACATATTTAATAATATAGTTTTTCATTGCAAGAGTATAGCACCTTAAAGAGCCATTCTTAATGTTGTCTAAAGTGTTAATTAATATTACTAGCAGAAAATCCGCTATATGGGCGGCTGTTTGTACTAGTTTTTACTAAACGTAGTATTCATACCTCAGAGAAAAATAAATTAGAAAAAGTGAACATTTTCTGAAAAAGAATTTTTTGTGGGAAGTCCTACACGGGAAAAGTGTTAGGATTGTGCTCTTTTGTCATACACAACTAACTTCATCAAAATGATTCAATGTATAGAACTCAAAATCTTCACAAATTTTACTGAAATAAACTGTAATGTATTTATTTATTAAAACTGGCGCCATTTATTGAAAAAAATAATAGTTTTTTTTAAGAACTCCAGTTTCTCAGTACTACATTTAAAAAGTACATCAATAAAGATATAATCAAACCCTCACGTACAGTCCTAGTGAAAGTCGTGTTCTTGTTGTGAGGAGAGTACTTTTATTTAAAATTTTGTTCTATTATAAAGAAATAGTTATTACACGTACCACATTTATTTTTCTAATTGTCTGAATTTTGAATACCCAATAGTGAAATTTTTTATGGATTTTTGTTTGTGGTGACATTCAATAGATGGCGCAGGAATTTTGGTTACGTACTTAGATAGTGATATACACGCTACGTCTATTATAGTAAGATTTTGGCACTGAATATTTACTAGTGTATCTTTGGGCTAAAACAAATCTGAAATTGAAACTTTTATTGATAATTTAAGTAAAAACATTTTCATTTAGCAAAAAATAATCAAAAATATACCTAATAAAAAAACTGAAAACAAGAACATTGGTTTGTAAGAATTTATAAATAGTTTGGTACTTTTTAGGCCCCTCAGTAGAGACTTTATAGTATAGACACCATCAAAGTTGTGAAAAAACGAAAGATCAAAAACAGTAACATAATAAAAGGTAACGTGTTATATCATGCATTTTTGAAATATATATAATTTTTTTAGTGTGCATATGTACATTTCAGTCTTGTTCACACTCTCCGGCTGACAACTTGTTCACACTCTCCAAGCAGGTCAGCTATTGAACTTCGTTATTTTTTATTTTCTCTGAACAGGAACGTGCTTACAGCAACAACATTAAAATCCTCTACATTCTGACTCGTAGATTTTTCAGAAGTAACTTTGATAGATATTACACTCGTCATCTTCTACTTATCTGAACACGTGGGTTTCTTCACGAATCAGGTGCCCATTTAGATAGTCACAAGCTCAGCAAAATGCATTTTTTCTGTTTTGTTTTTTGAGCCTGATTTGCATAGCGTCACATAACCCTAAATAGTTCACATAAGGGTAATTTAACATTGCTAAAACTCTATAAATATCTCTCACATCCTTCTTCCTTATTGGGTTGAGATGTCTAGGTAAAGTAGGTCAGGTCATTCTATTGCACTAGCTATAACATGTTAAAAAAAATTCTGTAAATGTAATTTTTGTGTTTTCGTTAACTTATGGTGATTTCTCTGAACTAACAGGTTCTTCCAGAACATCACTTCAAGAATCTACTTTCCAATATTCTGGTTTAGTGAGGTAATAAGTCATATTTCTCTTTATTTTGTCAGCTGTGTCTTCGTAACAGTTTTCATGAATGTAGTAAAACGTATATGACGCTACGTTCAAAATTACACAATATAAAAATTTTATTGGAAATACCAGACCTTACCTAACAAGGCTTCCACATGTTTCCGTGAGTAACATATTCACCATAATAAGGAAGGCAACATCAGTGAAATACTGTTCCAGTGTTTATATATATTTCATACTTGACACTTAATATACATATATATCCAATTCCGTCCAACTGAAGATAACATAGGGTTTTCCTGTTATTTAGTTGCTGCATTTATTGTTAAAAAGTGTGCCTGTTTAAGTAATTCACATACATATACCGTTAAGAACTCTTTGGACTTTATTAATAAAACTAAGTAGGCCAATTTTACATTAACAGACCAGCTAGAAGCTTTAAATGTGGACATCATCATGTGGTTTCCTTATTTACCAATGTTACAAGAGATTTCGTAAATACTACATTTATCTATTGATGGGATTTTATTTTTAAGAACATAGTGGCAAATATGTCTACGTTTGTCAGGAGTTGAAAATAGTTACTCTACAATTAGCATACTTCTTAAAAAATGTTATCTGTATGTGGAGAAATCGTTTGAACATATATGAGACAAATATTATTTTTATCAACACAAACACGTTGAGAAATTTTAAATTTGTTGCAAAACTTATTGTCAATTATATCAATGATATTACAATTGAATCCTATGCCAATGGCAACTTGTCTCAGGAAATTTAATTCCAATACTGGCTTTTATTGAAACGAACAAATATTTAAAGCTCTATGTACATATGTGGTGAAAGCTGACATTTTCTGAGAATAGGGGTGACGGTATCCCCTTACGTGGCACCAAGGCAATAGAAAACGTTTTTCTGTAAACAGAAGTAACCATTGACTTTCTCTTTTAATTAATATTAATAACAAAAAATCTTATTTGAAAATTGTTGGGATGTATGGATGGAAAAAGATCATAAACTAGAGATCATTTGGGATGGAAGGAATATCTGCATTACCATTCCTGTATTCCACCACTTAACGTGTATATACATCCACCCTGTGAGTGCAGTGTACGATTGGTGAAATACAGGAATGTTAATGCAGATTTTCCTCCCATCCCAAATGCTCTCTAGTTTATGATTTTTTTCCATCCCAACAATTTTAGAATAAAAATTTTATTACTAGTTTCTGCACTTTTAACGAGTCGAAGTCTTGGCTTCAAGTGGAGCTGTAACTTCTAGGTGGAAGACAACATTTCACCAACTTATTTAATTCTATTCTATAGGGAGCCATAAAATAATTTATAGACGTTACTTCTTGAAGCAAGATAAGTCATGACCAGGATACTGCGTGGCGCGGTAAGGAGTATACGGTACATTATCGACTTCAATATAACACACATAATGGCTTACTGATCAGACACCGTAATTAGTACTTTGGATTGTAACTAACTTATCACTTGCTGCTCTAGGTATGAAAAGGCCCATCCTAGGGAATAGTGAAGTGTTTTGGTTGCAGGCTGGTAGTAGGCATACTGTTACAGCTGACGGAGAACAAAAAAAAAAAAAAGAAATCAATGCTTTTGCGGCCTGTTTTCTAGACGTGAAGGAAGGATAACCGAACTTTAGAGGCAGTTTTGTACTTAAGTAGTGAAGAGTTTTTCGTTTCTATCCATTTGGACGGGTTTTGCCTACGTCCTGGCGTACACGTTATCATACGCAGGCCGCCATTTTTAGCCGGATATTACCATGCTGTCACATAAGGAACGTGTAATGAACTTATCTCATCCACACAATGGGCTTCACGAAAGCTGTACTTAGTGCCTTTGATGAAAACTCAAGCATGAACAACTCACAGAGAAGTAGTGAAACCGGAGGACTCATTGCTGAACTTATGATAAAACTTAAAGTACACATTGTTAACCCAACAGCGTATTTAATGTATTATATCCTATATTTCTAATGCTGAAAACCTCTTACTACATACTATTCTACGTTTAAAAACATCTAAAGATTATTCTACTGGAACTTTGGTAAATAAGAAAACCACATCTAAAGGCTCTAGTTGGTCTGTTTATGTAGAATTAACCTACTTAGTTTTATTAATTAAGTCCAAAGAGTTCTTATATGGGAATTACTTAACCAGGCACACTCTGTAATAATAAATTTAGCAACTAAATGACAGGAAAACCCCCATATATATCCCGTTCCGGGATGTATATATTAAATGTCGAGTAACGTTTTTCATCTCATGTCAAATTTAGTTATTTTTACTGCCTAAGAGATGAAATCACATTAATAGATAAATGTGATATTTATAAGATCTCGTGTAACTGTGGTCTAATGTATATTGACTAAAAATGTAGAAATTTAAACTTAATGAACATAAAAACTATACAAAATCAGAAAATTAATGAAAGAGTTTCAGACGAATATATGGCGAACAACAATCTTTTTCACAGTGTTAATTTGAATAATGTTAAATTGATTAAATATTATAAAAATAAATACCAATTAAATATAAAAATCATTAGAAATATTTAATAATTCGAAGTTAATTGTTAATAGAGATTCTTGTCCACAGGTTGCAGGAATTTATTTCTGGAAATTGTTTCAAGAGAGAAATATATGTAGGTGGCAGCACCTTTTATGCTAATTGTTAGGTCGAGAAGTTTTTCATTACGCAGGGTATTAAATGTAAAAAAAAATATAAAAACTGAATCAATTTTTCATTGGTATCTCCAGTGGCACAGAGGTAAGTTTGAAGGTTTATAACAGTAAAAATCGGGTTTCGACCCCCGTGGTGGGCACAGCACAGATAGTCTATTGTGTAGCTTTAGGCTTAACTACAAATAATCGAGAAGTGTTTCACTGTTGTCTTCTTTATGATGATAGTGGGTTTCGAAAAAGAAGTCCTTGGGTAAGCCTGGTGTCTTCAGTGAAGTTTTTATATTGTGTAAGCTTATACGTTGTGCCATCTAGTTTTTAATAATTATTTTACATGAAGCCATTTCCAACTTGATATCAATTTTCATAAAGAGAAAGAAATATGAAAACAGAGAATTTAAAATGTATAAGGGTAGATAGACAGAATCTCAGAACGTAAGTTGTGGCGTATAGAAAAGTAAAAAGACAAATAGGAAGGTAAAAACTAACATATTGACAAAGATAATGTGCAACTAAATATTTGGTGAGAGATAGATAGCTAAGTATAAAGTGAAAGATTTTCAGTAAAAAGATGGGCACGTGTGAATGGAAAGAAAATAGAAATAAGTAAATAATAAAACTTGTATGGACCACTGAAATAAATAATAAAACTTATACGAGCCACTTAGATTGTGTGATACGCCAGTTTTGAAAATATTTCTGAAGTTTTGTTGTTGTTGTTTTTTTTCAGACAGCTCAATTAGATGAATCAATGGCAAAACAGCTCCATCTGGTGACTGATGATCTACCAACGTACTCTACCATTTTCTGCTTTGTTTTATTTGTTACTGGTGGAATAGTTTTCACCTCTGGTTTACTTATTTTCATGAGACATCGAAAAATAAAAGTAAGTTTTCTAATCATGATAAATATTTATGCACTGTGAGGCCCTGCATGGCCAGATGGTTAGGGCGCTTCACTCGCAATCTGAGGGTCGTAGGTTCGAATCCCCGTCCCACCAAACATGCTCGCCCTTTCAGCCATGGGGGCGTTATAATATAACGGTTACTCCCACTATTCGTTGGTAAAAAAACAGTATCCCATGAGTTCGCGGTGGGTGGTGATGACTAGCTGGCCCTTCCTCTAGCCTTTCACTGCTAAATTAAGGACGGCTAACGCAGATATCCCTCGTGTAGCTTTGGGCGAAATCCAAACAAACCAACTATACACTGCCATCAAGCGTATAGTAAAATATTTAAAATGATATAATTACGAAACAACAAAGCATAATACGTAGACCGTAGTGGGTCCTATCTCTACACAAAAACTGAAAATAAAAACAAAATATGTATAATTCATTAAATGATTTAAATACATTTACTATGCGTTTCACTTAATGTTTTTATTGTATTAACGTGTTTTTTTTTTATTATTGTTATAGTGACAAAGTCTCATTTGATCAACGTTTAAATAAAGTATTGCATTGTTATTATACAGTAGAATTCATATTCCTGTTTCCCGTTAATGTAGGCTGCAAAGGTTCTTTAAGAGCATTTCTTCGTTAAACGTTTGTAAAATAAAACTATTATACAAGTACTGACACTGGTATATAAACAGCATAATGATAGCGTTTAAACCTCTATTAGATTGTTGATATATTGGAATCCACAGATCCAAGGGACGCTGTAAATGGTGTTTTTTGCCCTCCTTATTGTGTTGTAGCTTCTGAATACTGTTCTGACTTCAAGCTATTTGCATATCTTCTGAATTTTTTTCAGAGAGACTTTTGACAAATAAGAATATGGCTGTGTCTTCAGTTTTCTTTCTGCTTATTCTTGACGTTTATCTTCTTTATAAAGAGGGTTGTTAATGATGGTTGTATTTTTATTCCATCTTCTTGACACCTTTGGCATTACAAATATTGTTCTTTCTACAAACTATGAATTTTATTATGCCTGTATTTAAGCTGTTGGAGTAGTTTGATTTAAAATTCAGATATTCGCCAGTATCTGTGGGTTTCCTGTAAACTTCTGTCTCATATGAGGTATATGTCGTAATAACAGGAATTGGAACAGCACGAACAGGAATCGAAACTTGTTATTTTCTATTTCTATCGCGAATTTTGTGATACGGGAATATAGCATAGGTTTCTAATTCTCGTAGAGTTGATATGTATTCTGAATTTATTGTTAGTTTTGGCACGAAACGTTTGGTCTAGAAAACCGTTAAAGTTTTCTCAATGCTAACGTGTCCTCATGGCTTTGTCTTTCTCTCTCATATCAGATGGCACCCACTTGGCCCGCCAAAACGTTGCAACATCTTTCCTCGTGTTGTTGGCCGATTGGGTGATGTCTGTAAGCTCTTGTCGACGAATTTTGTAAGAGAGCGATCAGTCTCGTGGTAATGGACAAAGAAATCAAGTCGGTCAGCTTGGAAGTGAGTCTTGAGGGATTAAAACTAGACTGACTGGTAATTAGGACTTGAACCAACTATCTGAATGTTTTCAAGAGGTGTGTCCAGATTTTGCTGACTTTTGTGCTTGGTTGACTGAATGTGTTATCAGTTACGTGGAGGGAGAATACTTATTTTATCTTTCATACGCTCGTTTGTGGTTAACAATTTAACATCCCGTTATTTTAAGTATAAATGACAAAAACCAATGCTGATAACGTAAAAGATACTTTGATACATCTTTAAAAACAAACCCCCACATTTCGTCCTACTTCCTTACGTCATCGTCGGATTAATTGATACCTACACATCTTTAAAAACAAAACCTCACATTTCGTCCTACTTCCTTACGTCATCGTCGGATTAATCTGTTATTAAATTGAAATTCTAAAACAATGCGAGAAATAACGATAACAATGGGGTAAGCTTACGCTATTGTTATATATTACCTAGGAAAAGAAAAACAAAGTTACATAAATATAAATTTGTAAAATTGTTGGCAATACAGTTACAAAAAAAAAACATTACAGATAGTAATAAAAATAATTTCGGCAATGTTTCGCCATTCAAGTTTCATCAGTACAAGGTTATTTTACTTTCTAAATTTATTGCCAAAACTTCCCTCGAGTATGTACTACAAATTATAAAATTGTTATTCATTTAAAACGGTGTTTAAGAAATCGACCAAACATTAAATTTTCGACTTCAAAATACATGTATACATTGATATATATTTCTAAGATTAAAGGCAAGTTACCAGATTTAAAATGAATACAACCTGATAAAAGACAGGTTTATGAAGGTTGGTGTTGCTTAATACATTAAGTTTCTTTTATTAAGAGTTCAGTATCTAATTTAGCTTTTGAAGTTGGAAATAGTTTGTTTTGAATTTCGCGCAAAGCTAAACGAGGGATATCTGCGCTATTCGTCCTTAATTTAGCAGTGAAGGACTAGAGGGAAGGCAGCTAATCATCACCACCCACCGCGAACTCTTGAGATACTCTTTTTACCAACGAATAATGGAAGTAACCGTCATATTATAATGACCCCACGGCTGAAAGAGCGAGCATGTTTGGTGGAACGGAGATTTGAGCCTGCGACCCCCAGATTGCGAGTCAAGCACCCTTACCACCTGGCCATGCCGGACCTTTGAGAGAGAGAGAGATTTCATGTTCAATGATACCATTATGGCTAAATATCGTGGAGGATTGTTTAGCCGTGTAATAGTTTTCTCCGACCATCCCATGAGTGAGATGACGTTTGGACTTCTCTACGTAAGGGGGGGGGGGGTTCACTTTTCCACAAACGTGTAAATATAAGAGCCACGAACGATGCGAAGTCAGTAGCTTGTGTTTGTTTTGAGGGCATTGTCTTCGAAACGTTCCATCTAGAGGTCTCTGGGTGCTGGTGATAGGGGTAGATCCATGGCTAAGTGTTCTGTTGTTGGTAGCATTTATTAATTAGAGCTTGAATCCACTAACTAGTTGAGTGTTTTCAATAATTAGATTTACGAGTTTCTTTAGGTTACTAACCATAACAACATTAATATCCAATCACCAAAACCTTACCATGAATACGTATACAAAATATTTTATTTACTACCACCTAAGCCTTTAGATTTTCATGATTTAACATTCAGATTTTTTCACTTTTCATAGAGAGACACCTATGAAGAAAATACGTAAACTCCTATTTGTCTTAACTATTTACTAAGCCTTTACGAGATTTTCGTGACTAATATTTTATCTTTCGTCCTCTCATAGAAAGAATAACATATCTTTTATTACTGCGTTGACCTTAAAAGGGTTTTGTTTTTTATTTTATATATTTTATAGTAACTTAGATTTATTAGAAAGTTTCAAAAATTTCCAGCAGTATAAAAACAGCATTGTATTTTTACTGTATTTTCAGGAACAAAAGAAAAGCTACAAGAAAGTGCGTACGTAGAGGGGGCGATGATCAAATCTCAAAGTTGGCAACTCTTTCACTGGACACTCGTTGTAACGAAATGTATCACTGGTGTAGCTATAGAATAGTGATGGTTTGAATAGAGTGTGTGTGTATGTTTTTTTCTTATAACAAAGCCACATCGGGCTATCGGCTGTGTCCACCAAGGTGGTTTGAATAAAAAATTTTATGCAGGTGTTTTATTTTATATGCTGAAACCTTAATCCCTGTTGACTGAATATAGTAAAATTAAAAGGATGGGTGTCAAAAAGGTCTTGAAACGGACAGTGTCAGAGGTGGAAATATATTTCTACAAATGTAGTAACGGGTATAACAGATCGCTTGTCAGATTTTATATCCTTACCACATCTCAAGATGTCTGTCACTAATATGTGTTCAAACCTATGCATTAGTCATTAACAATCCAACAACATATATCACATCTTATATGGTGATGGTAGAGGCATTTACTATATGGTGATGGTAGAGGCATTTACGTCATACTTCATTATGACAGACCGCAAAATATAATAAACAGGCGAAATCATAGACAACCATTTGATCTAAGCCTAATCTACGTGTAAACTGCGTAGCACTCGAATAGTCTAAAGTATGGTCACTTACATTTTCTGTATAGTGTCAATCGTTCTGAGTCTCAGTCCTGGTCAGTTGCATTAAGTGCTTGCTGCTTGGGTGACGGTGAAAGGAGAGAGGGCGCTTTCTTGTGACGGTGAAAGGAGAGAGGGCGCTTTCTTGTGACGGCTAAAGCCTGGATACCATAAAACAGACAATTTGAAAAGAACATTTCACTGCCCTTGCCAACCAACGTTGCCGGTAAATTCTGGTCCGCCCACATTATATATTCTAATTAAGCCGCGCAAATCACCATTTTGAGGATAAGCCCTAAAATATTGGTTTCTAAAGGCAGTGCTGCTTCATTTGGGCTTGTTTTGAAAAGCGATGATGTATATTTTTCTCATGAGACTTGGCAAAACTGGCTACCAATAAGATTTAGGTCTCCCGATGGGACAGCGATAAGTCTTCGGATTTATAACGCTAAAATCAAGGGTTCGATTCTCCTCGGTAAACACAGTAGATAGCCCGATGTGGCTTTGCTATAAGAAAACGCACATACGTTAAGATTTAGTGAAAAGCTAGCTACATAATGATAAATTGGAAATATAATTCACGATACACGTTTTTAATGTTGAAAGTGTTCTGTTTGTTAGAATTATGCTAACAAGTAGTTAAGAATAAGTATCGTTACGTGTATATTAATTTAACAAAATGATAAAAGTATCCATATCTTTGAATAACAGAAAATAATATCCATTTTAATGACATTCCAGTGATGTTATTTTTTACTTTGTCTATAATCTATGTGTTGTTTTCTTTTGATATTTAATGACTTATCTCTGCCTATATATCTATGTGTTGTTTTCTTTTGATATTTAATGACTTTTCTCTGCCTATATATCTATGTGTTGTTTTCTTTTGATATTTAATGACTTTTCTCTGCCTATATATCTATGTGTTGTTTTCTTTTGATATATAATGACTTATCTCTGTCTATATATCTATGTGTTGCTTTCTTTTGATATTTAATGACTTATCTCTGTCTATATATCTATGTGTTGTTTTCTTTTGATATTTAATGACTTATCTCTGTCTATATATCTATGTATTATTTTCTTTTGATATTTAATGACTTATCTCTGAATAACAAAAATTCGCACCTTAGTTAGTAGTCTGACTTTTGTAAACAAAGAGCGAAACTTAAAAGCGATAGTCAGAGAGATAGAATTGCTAATATATAATATAGTTTAATATTTTTTCAACACCAGTTTGATTTAATTATCTTGTTTATTATCATTATTATATCTATTATGTTTTTCTATTGGAATATGAAACATTTCATTTGATATTCAAATCCAATTTTCATACACGTTCGATATATTATGTGACCCAATTAAATTTCGTCAGACAATCGAGCCTGTAATCCGCCATTTATGAAAAATTCATGATTGATTTAAAATATTGTTATACATCGTAAACTCTAAATCTTAAATTAGTTACTTTCTGTATAATTTTTCAGAACGAAGTGTTATTACAACTTGTGAAATATGTAGTGCCACCTGGTGTAAGACGAAGCAGCTAAATATATAAAATTTAATCAAAGGAAATTAGCTCACGGCCCTTAAAAATATCAGGTGAAACTAGCATTCCATCTTTTATTGTAAAATGTTCAGTAAAATAAAATATTTTAAATATTAAAAACATCTGTTAATACGGACGTTTCGGAATTTCCTTAAATTTCATCATCACCATCAATACCTAAAAAAAAAACAAAATTATTTCATGATATTCGAACTACGAAAAACAACATTAGCGGTGAGCAAGTTTTCGTATTCAATCGGAAGTTTAGAGGAAACAGATTTAAAAGGTAACAATATAATGGAATGTACGATAAAATGTGCGGCATACACAAGTTTAATAAATAACATTGTTGAGAGAAACTATTATAGAGAAAGCCTTAAATATAAATATAAATGGCCCGGCATGGCCAGGTGGTTAAGGCCCGTCCCATCAAACATGCTCGCCCTTTCAACCGTGTGGGCGTTATAATGTGACAGTCAATCCCACTATTCGTTGGTAAAAGAGTAGCCCAAGAGTTGGCGGTGGGTGGTGATGACTAGCTGCCTTCCCTCTAGTCTTACACTGCTAAATTAGGGACGGCTAGCGCAGATAGCCCTCGTGTAGCTTTGCGCGAAATTCAAAAACAAAACAATAAGTATGAACACTGTATCTTTAAAATATCAAATAAAAATACTGAGAATCCGGAATTGATTACATTAATGAGAACAGGGAGGAGTTGATGTTATTATTTAGTGTTGAGTGATCATTGAAAATGGAGAGGCTTTCTTTAATAAAGAATTCGTAATCTGTTGTTCCGGAGTCGAGAATTTAAAGTTTTCTAGAAATATGGGGTGGTTTTAACTCTCACTGTGCAATAAGATACAAGACTGGGATGGTTTACTTATCTCACATCCGCTTCTAACTGAAATTCCCATGTGCTCGTGTGCACGTATTTGTAGATGACGTGTAGTTTTACCAATATAGGTAACTTTACAGCTACCATAAGTGTATTTATACACGATCCACGAGCGCATAGGAATGGGTACTCTACTCTTTAAAACATATTTTTAATTCTAAATGTTGACATAAATACTAAATTTAGCTTAATTTGTGGGTTATATGTTTTGATTATTTTTTTAATTTGATATTTGGGTTTAAAACTTTGTTTGCCAATGAAAGGAATGATAAGAACTAGCGGATATTTTAAATTCGATGACGAGGAACCCACTTTGAGACTGGTAATGCCTGGAGACGGCTTGAATGGGTAATGAAGAAAAACTTTAATATAACAGCGAATGTACAACGTTTCGACAAGGTTTTGTCACCATTCAAGCCGTCTCCAGCCATTATTAGTGGATATCTTGATACAGTGTGTGACTTTTTGTGTGTGTAAGTTCTATTTTATTTGTTAAAAATTTTCATCATCACCGTCAATAACCT